CTTCTCCCTCTCCCTCTGCCTGCCGCTCACCTTGCTTGTGCTTTCTTTCTCTATCAAATAAATAAATAAAATCTTTAAAAAAAATCAAATCTTTATTAACTATAAATTGGATTGTGATAACATGCCTGATTTTATAAATTGACCCTGCACAAATAAAAGATAATTTAATATATACATTCACACATGTATACAAAGGTCATATACTTAGAAAATGGAACAATACAATTAGAAAATGGACCACAGACATAAACTGAAATTTCACTGAACAGAATGTACATATGGCAAATAAGTACATGAAAATATGTTCAATTTAATTAGTAAATTAAACAACGAGATAGCACTACACATCTATTAGAATAGCTAAAAGAAAAAACCGTGTCAACACCAAATACTGGTGAAGATGAGAAGAAATTTGATCACTTATTTATTGTTGGAGGGAATGGAAAATAATACAGCAAGTTTGAAAAACAGTTTGGCTTTTTCTCAAAATTAAACCTACAACTATCACACCATCCAGAAATCACAGTCTTGAGTATTTATTCCAGAATAAAGAATAAACACAGATTTTCACAGTATCTTTATTTCAAATAGCCTAATGTGGAAAAAAAACCCACAAAGTTCATTTAATGGTTGATTGGTTAAGTAAACTGCACATCCATAGCATAGACTACGATGCAACAATTAAAAGGAACTGTGTATATCAATGTACACAATAATATGGATAAAGGGGAATTATGCTCAGTGAAAAATTACAAAAACCAACAGTGACATCTCTGAAAATGGTAGAGTAGGGAACTCCACAAAACAAAAATAAGCTGAGCTGAGTAGCTTCATGGTTAAAAGCATTCAAGCAAATGTATTATCCATAGCCACCAAGAACAAGGAATAACAGGGCAGGCAATAGACAGATTAAAAATCCTGGGAAAAAGAGGATGAGGACAGAGATATTTGGGGGAATATGTAGAAAACAAAAGATAAGACAGAATTGTAAACTGCCTGGCTAAGCAGAGAGGTAGTGTCCCAATCCAGAGGTGATCTATAAAGACAGAAAGGAGTTTTTTTTGGGGGGGGTTGTTATTGTTGTTTGTTTTTTGTCTGTTGTTTAAAGAAATCTGTGTCAAATCACCAGTTGACCATCAATGTAATGGAACAGGGAACTTCAGTGGTCACATATGAAAAGAATATAGACATCACAAAAAATAGCTAGAAAATTCACTACACAATAATCCACAAAGAGCAGAAATAACAAATTCTGAGGAGGGGTGAGACTATGATTTCCATTGTTAGCATATTAATCAAATTACCCCAGTTTCAATAAAAATTTACAAGAATGTACAGAAATTGTAACTTTCATACATTGCTAGTGAACACATAAAATGCGCATCCTCTGTGGAAAGCAGTGTAGTTGTTTCTCAAAAAGGCAAACATAGATTACCATGTGACCCAGCAATTCCACTACTGCATATATAATAACCAGAATTGAAAACTGGGCATTCAAACAAAAAAACTTGTACATAAATATTTATAACAGCAAATTTTATAATAGCCAAAAGGGGGAATTCAAATGTTTATAAACTGATGAATTATAAACAAAATGTCGCATATCAACTCAGTAGAACATTATTTAGTCATGAAAAGAAATAAAGTACTAGTATGTGCTATAATACAAAGAATCTTGAAAATATGCTGGGATTATTGATTCTTTTCTAATTATTGGTTCTTTTCTAATACAGTTGTTAAGAGCCATAAAATTTTCTATTAGTACTGATTTAGCTAATATCATACAATTTGACATGTGTTTTTATTTTCTCTTCAGTTCAGAATTCTTTCTAATTTCATCTTTAATTTGCCCTTTGACCTACAGCTCAGTTAGAGTTGTGTTAGTGAATTTTCAAATATTTGGGAATTTCCCAGAGATCTGTTTGTTATTGATTTCAACTTTGTATTATGATCAAGATTATATTTTGTGTTATTAAATCATTTAAAATTCATTGAGAATTTCATTGTGGTTACTTTATATTCTATGCTGCTAAAGGCCCCATATGCAACTGAAAATATGTGTTGTGCTGTTGGTGAATGAAGTCTTTTACAAATGTTAATTAAGTGAAGTTTAATAGTGGTGCTGTTCAAGTTTTCTATGTCATTGCTGATTTTTTGTCTAATTTTTCCATCAGTTATTGAGAAAGGGATATTGACATCTCTTGCTGTGATTGTGGATTTATCTATCTAATCTCATAATTCTATAAATTTCTTCTTCAGGTATTTTGAAACTCCTAACCATCTCATCCAAGCATTGTATTTTTTTTTTAATCTCAGGCGTCATTTTCCTCTCCAGAAGTTCAATTTGTTTTGTCACTTCTTCCATATCTCTACTTAACGTGTTTAATTTTGCTCTTCTTTATTGACTTCTAGGTTACAGTTATGTGTTTTAATATACTTTTCTGCCAATCCTATCATTTATTTAACTTCCAGATATATTTCTTTCTATTGATTGCTTTTCCTCCTTAACATGACATATATTTTCTTGTCTTATTTCATGTAGTAATTATTGATTGGATCACAAGTACTATGAATTTTACCATGTTGGAAGCAGGATATCTTTGTATTCCTATATGTTTTTTTGAGTTTTGCTCCATAATACACTTAGTTTAATTTAATTTAGTTAGAAAATGATCCCTTTGAGACTTGCTCTTAAACGTTGTTAGATGTAACCAGAGTAGCCTTTAGTTCTAGGGCTCATTTTGTCATACTGCCAAGGCAATAAGCTTTTGACAATTCTACTCAATGCCCCATAAATTTTGATATTTTCAACTCTGCCTAGTAGGAACATAAATTATATTCCAACCTATGCAATCTCCAGGATTCTACCTTCTGTCTTTTCTTGGTAGATTTTCAAAACCATTGGGTAGTTTTCTTACCCACATGAACTGATCAGTGCTTAGTTGAAAACTTAAAGTGGATTCTTTACAACTCCAGAAGATATCTCCAGAACTATCTCTGTGATGCTTTTTGTTCCCTGACGCTGTCCCTTATAAGTTCTAGCTGCTTTGCCTTTTCTAGCTCATGGAGATTGTCAGGCTCTAACTGAACAATTCCTCCCTCATCCATTACCAGGAACCTCTCTCCAATTAGGAAGCTGTGGCAAATTTAGGGATCACCTCATTTCTTCTTCTTTTCTAAGTAACCACTGTCCTATACTGTTCTATATCCAAAACACTTTTATATGTTTTACATGAAGTATTAGTGTTATTTCAGGAAGAAAGTAAATTGGGTCCTTATTACACCAATTTTCTTGGAAGCAGACTTGAGTCATATTGCAGTAAGTTGTATGAAGATCTAGAAGAATATACCAGATGGAAAAACTAACCAGTGAAAAAGTTTAGGGGTGAATATGAGATTTATGTGTTTGAGGAAGAAAAAAAAAAATAAAGAGTGTGACTAAAGAATTTCAAGCCATGGCTGAGAAGACAATGAGATGAAATAAGATAGACAGTGTTCTACAAATAAGGTATAAAAAATGTGGACCAGTGTGCAATTAAAATTAGGTTGTAGCTTCCCTAGTAGTAAACTCTAGAGTACTTATGACTGTCTTAGATAATTTTTTTTAATTTCCTTGTTTTGTATACTATACATATCTTCTATCTGCGGTCTACTTGATAATATGAAATATGTAAATATAAATATACCCTCAACTATTTTTTTATTTTTTGATAAAAATTATGGAAGTACAATTTAATAGAATTTGTTTTCACAGAGCACACATTTCTAGCAGTACTATGAAAGAAGTATCTTTGTGTAATTCTCATGTATGCAAGAAACTTGACAAAGAATTTTTCAAAATTGATAACAAACTGAAATACTTGCATGACAATATCAATTGTATAGATTGAATTTTGTCCTCCACAAAAATTTTACAGGTTGAAACCTTACTCTCATTGTAACTATATTTGGAGACAAGGCCTGTAGGAAGGCAATTAAGATTAAATGAGTTCGTAAGGGTGAACTTACCAATAGAACTGGTTTCCTTATAAGAGGAAGAGACACCAGAAATGCGTGCATACAGAGAAAATGCCATGTAGGGGCACGATGATCTTGGGCTTTCAGCTTTCAGAACTGTGAGAAATAAATTTCCGTTTTTCAAGTCACCAGTCTGTGGTATTTTGTTATGGCAGCACTAGCAAAGTAATATAGCAATAATGAGTTGTGAAGCTCAAATATGTTTGAAAAATCTTAATAAAAAAATATATATGATCAACCTTGATAGAGGATTGAGTTATCTTACTATTATCTCTATAGAAAATGACAATACAAAATCTTTGTAATATGAATATGAAGCCAAAAAATATAGGAAAAAGGTATTATGAGGTGTATGAGGTAGTTATTTAATTTAAAAAGTGTTTTTTCTGGATTTTGTAATGTTTGCTGTATTTGCAGAGCTTTTTAGAGTGTGCAATTTTTGTGTTTTGCTCTTATTCTAAATAAATCTTCACTTTCATAATTAAGCATGAATTTGGCAATTTAATTTTTTTTAGTTTCCCCAAATTGTATATGCCTCAGATTTTACATAACCTGAATCTACCTCTGGTAAAAAGTTCTGGCTTTAAAGCTAGAGTGACCTGAATAATCTGAATCTACATCTTCAAGTATTCACTGTCTATAACTGGGCAAGTATTCCAAACTTTTAGGAGTTTCGTAACAATAGCTACTGTATGGGATTGTTGTCTTAATTAAATGACATGACAAATATACAATACTTAGCAGAGTCTGTTCCTTCTCATTATATAGTAGGCCTTAAAATATTATATATCCAAAATTATGAAAGGATAATGGATCATTATATCTATATCTATTATATATCTAAATATCTATTTTATATCTATGTACATAAATACCTGTATCTACATATCTATGTAGATCATTATATCTATAAAATAAGCAATAAACATTTTTTAATATATATTTTAATGACATTTTAATATTTTTATTGAAGTTAGGCCCAAAATACATTTGTTAAAAGAGAAAACATAAAACATAAAGTTACCGGAATCTCCATGAATAGAAGCAAAGAAAAGAAAGGTACAAAACTGAAAAGTGAAAAGTCCAGAAACTGATCATGTAATTTTGTTCTGGGTTAGTTCAGTCTGAGATAGAAATTAGCCCTATCATCTCTGACAACCTCAATAAATGAGAACACGTGTTTCTCATATTGTATCTTCTCTGATCAAGGGTCCTAGGATCCAAGGGTCTTAGACCATTAGGTAAAGAACTATTTAAGGCAAATTCCCATTTATAGGATTATAAAAAATAAATAAAAAGGTGCCTGTGTGTACACATGCTTGTTTTGTTTTCTCATTTAAACATGAAGTCATTTCAGATTTTCCTCTCCTATTTATGTGGAGACAGATCCACAGTTTATGTTTCTAGGATTCAGTGGTGAATCTATAGCAACTTTACCCAGGCAATTCCTATCCCAAACTCTTTGCTATGATATTTTTCTCACTTTTACTCTATTTCTTTTATTTCTGTTTAAGAATTTTTTCAGATATCACCTCAGCATTTCTTGTATTTCAATCTTTTTTGGCATTTCTGTCCACTTTAATTTTTCTTCTTCATTGAGTACACTCCCAGTTGGCATCTTCTCTCATGCTCTAGAATATATCAAAAAAAAAAAAAAGTTTTAGATGAATTAGAAAGTATGAAAGGTATAAAAGAAAGTGGCATAAAAAGATTTGAAAACCAGAGGAGATAATAGAAGGAGACATTTTAAAATTAAATGCAAACAGTGGTTCAGAGAGTACAAACAAAAGCAGGTGGGAAGAGGACAATTTCCAACAAGCAAGACCAGAAGGGAAACTAAAAGGTCAACTCATGGGTGTACAAGCAGGTTAGCAAACATCCCTCTCTCCCCTGGCCAAAGAAGTAAATAGGGAATTCACAGGAGACTTGATCAGTAAGGGAACATTAAATAAAATTGCTACTTGGAAACCAAAAAAAAAAAAAACCAAGGTTTCCACAAAAAGATAATTTTAAGTTTAAAAATTGCATGAAGGCAACTGAGGCCGTATCCACTAAAAGTTCTGAAGAAATAAACGTTTACCTAAGGTCCAAGATATAGTTAAGAAATCAGGTTTTCTGCCACAATAAATGTGTTTATTTTCTTTATTTATTGGTCTTTACTCGTTGTGTGACCTGTTGAAAATTAATCAACCTCTCTGAGCCTCAGTTTTCCATCAGTTAGTCACTGGACATCTCTTACTAGGACATCATATAGATTAAATACATGAAAATCACTGAGAACAGTGAAACAAACTTAGTAAAGCCGTAACAAATTATACATATTTAGGGGTGCCTGGGTGGCTCAGTCAGTTAAGTGAATGACTCTTGATCTTAACTCAGGTCTCATCTCAGGATTAGGAGTTCAAGTCCCATGTTGGGCTCCATGCCTTAAAATTTATTTTTTTTTAATTATACATATTTAGCTTCCATAGAAGCTGGATTATCAAGTTGAGAGTCTATTTTCATGTTTGATAAATAAGAAGAAAGTGTGATATGAACACAGGTTTTGTTTTTTGTTTAGAAGGTGTGCACAGTTTTAGATGTCCCATCCACACTTTCTACACAAAGCAGCTTTCTTCGGTTCTTAGATGGCTCAGGTTTTTCGTGCCAAAAGTGAATTCGGGAGAAGAACAAATGCTGGGTAAGATCCAAGTACATACACATTTGGGTACTTGAGAATAAGGTAGGATTGACCTGAAAGATCATTTTTTCCTATGATACCTTAAATTATATTCAGTCAAGCCCGATGAATAAAATGTTCCTACTGCTTAGTCAGGACCTTGAGTGCTTATTACACACTCAGAGCTCATCTTCCATCAAACATTTTCCCAGAGCTGATACAAAACAGCAATATGCCAATATATCAGATTTATTTTCTCTCCTCTCTTCTGTACAACAGCAAGAGAGAGGACAGGCGGGTTCCTAGTTTAGATAATCTTAAGTGGAACAAAATGTCTCTGGATAAATGGGAGTCATCTCTGGTTCATTGAAACTTAAGAGTTCATCACATTGACACTGAACATCATCTAGAAAGCAGTGGTCTATCCAGGTCACCGTCTGTAGAGAAGCTCTCTGTATAACCAGCTTTAGCTAGTGGATGCATTGAGTTATTAACTTTTGTTTCATTAAACACTTACTACATACTTCTTCAACATCATTTAGCTAGGCCATAAAGGGACATAAAACACATGCATGGTACACCTCTCAAAGGACTTACGGTGACTTTGTAGAGATAAGGACTACAGGAATAGAACAAATGAGAATTATTTGAAGTCTGTAGATTTGTGAATAAAATGACAAAAAACAAACAAACAAACATAAAAACCAGAATGCGAAAATCACATCTAGAAAATTTAGTATCCAAATCAGTCCTCCAGACCAGTGGTTCTCAAATATAAGTGTGCATCAGAATCACCTGCAAGATGTGGTAGGCTGCTAATTCTAATTCTGACATTTTGCCATATCTGAGTCTGGTTTTGATGTTTGCTCTGTCTCTTCAAACTGTTTCTTTTTGTCATTTTGTATACCTTACGATTTTTTTTTTTTTTTGACAGCTAGACATGCACTAGGTAAAAGCAACTTCTCTAAAAAGGCCTTTAGTAATGTGGTAGAAAGAGGTAGGGAGGAAGGAAGTGCTCCATAGCCCTGTGATTCAGGCTCAGTATTTTAGTGTGTCTGTATCTCTGCACTGTGAACTCTGTAAGTGCTTCTCAGTTTCTCACCACCACTACCTTAGGTGGGACAAGATAGCTAGAGAGGGTAGAATTGGGTATTGCCCTTCCCCCAAGTAGGTTAGGCTCTGAAAAAAACTCCCAGCAGTTTAAGAGGTTAAGCTCTGGTTACTTTTTCTCCTGACCAGACCTGTAAAGAAGAACAAAATGCACAGTTGTTTTCAAAATGGTGACCTTTCCACTCTCCTTGACAGAAGCATGAGAGGATTTTCTTGATAGTCTCTTGAAGGACCTGGTCGAATTCCTGGAGGTGTGGGGACTGGGTTCACCTGGAGTTTTGGACCCAGGCTTTTCCACACTGTCTTCACCGATTCATCAATTATAGCTTAAATCTTCCTACCCTGGCATTGGTACCCACAGAAGTTTTTGCTGTTGTGTTTCTGCTTTGGTAAGTTTTGCTTCTCTGTATCTGCCCATCTCTTTGCTCAATTTCAGGATCAGCAGTCTGCCCTATTAATTACATTACTTCTCTTAAGGATCTAAGAAGAGTTGTTGATTTTTCAGTCTGTTCAGCTTTTTATTTGTTGTTATGATGGAGTTATGTTATGATGGAGTTAAGACTTACAAGCTCTTTATGTGCCAGATGGGAAATGGGAAGTCCTAAGTCAGCTTTTCAAAATGCAAATCATATCATATCATTTCCCCTACTTAACACTCTTGAATGGTTTTCTGTTCCTTGAGAATTAAATCCAAACTGTTTAAAATGACATGTTATGGGGCGCCTGGGTGGCTCAATCAGTTGGGCATCTGACTTGTGATGTCTGCTCAGGTCATGATCTCAGGTCCTGAGATTGAGACCCCTGGCTGGCTCCTAAGCTCAGCATGGAGTCCGCTTGAGATTCTCTCTCCTTCTCTCCATCTGCCCCTTTTCCTGCTTGGTTCTTTCTCTCTCTCTCTCAAATAAATAAATAAATAAATAAATAAATAAATAAATAAATAAATAAAATCTTTTAAAAAAATAAATAGTAAAAAAGTAAAATGACATGTTATATCCTTGACTCCTTGTCCTGTCTTTATACATCTCTAATTTCTTACAAGCCAGCCTCACAAAAAAACATTTCCAATTACCTGACCTCACTCTGACTTTCTCACTCTTCTGTTTTCTTTTGAAAATTTTATTTATTTGTTTGAGAGAGAGCGAGCGGGAGCACCAGTCAGGGGCAGAGGGAAAGGGAGAAGGAGAAGCAGACTCCCCGCTGAGCAGGGAGCCCGATAGGGAGCTCTATCCTCCGACAGGGGGCTCCATCCCGGGACCCTGAGATCATGACCAGACCCAAAGGCAGACACTCTGCTAAAGGAAGAATAGAGAGTGAAAGCAAGTGTACATCTAGAAAGTGAACAAGCATTTCTTTACATTTCAGAGAGCATCAGGAAAGCATGCTGAAGTGAGTATAAAATTACAGGTAAGTCCCAACTCCGCTATTTCCCAGCCAAAAAAATATTTGTAAATTTATTTAAGCTTTTTGAGCTTGATTTCTTCACATGAAAATGAAATAATGTTAGTAAATATTTACACTTTTTCATAGATCATAGGAAGGCTCAATTTGTTAATGCTTATAAAAGTATTTTATAAATCATATAAAAATTGACATTTGTTAGCAAATTTTTATTATTAAGTGAAAATTATTTCCAGTTAATCTTAAAGAACCACTTATATTTTGTTTAATGCTGTATACCCAGTGTCTTTAATTGTGCCAGACAGATGGTAGATACTAGACAAGAACATGTTAAATAAATTGGAAATATTATCTGACTATATTCCTGTAGTGAAACTATGGTAAGTAATTTATATTAGAGATGAAATCTAAAGAATATAGTTCATGAAAGTCCATTAATGAGCTATATTTTTGTCAAAATAAGTTTTTTCTAAAAGCCTTTTTTCTGCTAGTATTTCAACTCCTTCCTGCTAGTATTTCAACTCCTTTTTATACATTAGCCATTGATGGGGTCCTATATTTGAAACAAAATACATCAATACATTAGAATTATATTTAATTAATATCAATTAGAATCAGCTTTTTTATTTTTACAAATATAAGAGGATCAGCTTTTTTTTTAATTTCTACAAATATAAAAGGAAAATGTATATTGCATTTTTTATATCTTTCGAAGTTACTACTTTGGCTTTAGAAGTTTGGTTTTACCTGATGTGTCTATTCCTCACCTATATGTACTTTTATTCATCACTGTCACAGCTTAAGTCTCAATTTAGGATTCCAGGACAGTGCTAGAGGATTTATTTTGTGATTGACCGAGGAGATACCAAAATTCACTATATATAAAACACATCATCCTATTTTATTAGACCATATAAAGGATCCAGGTGTGTTGTTGATTTTGTCAAACCCTTCTTTTTTTTTTTTTTTTGAATATCAATTTTCTGTGACAGAAAGTGGTACAGAAATATACCTTTAGAGATGGTTGTACAATGATAATGGTGTGAAAGGTAGTCATTCAGGTAACACCAGAGGTTGGCAACAGCAATATTGTATCTTGCTTTTGTTGAATCTGTCATTAGCACTTAATCTATTCCTTTTGTGGGAGGCTGCAATAAAAGATATTACACAATTTATTTTACATTTCTGAGAATCACTTCTTTTTAATATACACGTTCATATAATCTTTGTTTAAATCAGTTTTTTTTCCCATTTGTTTCCAATAGCCCTCCACAAAAAAATGCAAATGCAATTGCCAAAGGAGATAAAATATGGATATTTGCAGTAATATTTTAAATGCAAAAGTATAAAAATTAATATCAAGAATAGCTATGACTGAGGGTAGTGGGTGGGGTATGAGTGGCTCTTGTTGGATGAAGATAATTAAACAGTTAAGAAAAAGAAAGTGATATAAGGGCGCCTGGGTGGCTCAGTCCTTAAGCATCTGCCTTCGGCTCAGGTCTTGATCCCAGGGTCCTGGGATCAAGCCCCGCATCAGGATCCCTGCTCAGCGGGGAGCCTGCTTCTCCCTCTCCTACTCCGCCTGCTTGTGTTCCCTCTCTCGCTGTGTTTCTCTCTGTCAAATAAATAAATAAAATCTTAAAAAAAAAAAAAGAAAAAGAAAAAGAAAGTGATATAACTCCAAAGATTTCTGAAAGGTCTCTATATGAAATCCATTCATTCCCAAAAGGTGTATGTCATTTATCTTCAACAGATCTGCATTGCCATGTCTTCCCAAGAGTTGAAATTCCAGTTGTAGAGGTGAAGCCCGCCCAGAACGTGTCACTTGGCTATCATTGAAGTGTTGAACGAATTAGACCTGTCCATATTTAGAATCATTATTCCTGGTACTCAGACATGATAATTTTTCTTTTCCAATGAGATAGTGTCTGGCCTTTTGACTCATCTCACGGCAATGTCAAGGGAGACAGATGCAGGAGTTCCAGTCTCCAAATGGCAAGGCGTCCTAGATTTAAGGCGAATAATCTACTGTCAGATTTATAGAAAGGGGGATCTTTAAGGTGGTGGTAACAAAGAGAACACTCCCTACAAAATCAAAGAAGGAAACCCTAAGTGACCTTTTTCATTCTCGCTTGAATCACAAGGAAAATCTTTGGTTCTTATAGAAATGTGGAAAAATGCATCTATTTGAAATCTCAGATTCCAGCTTCACAAGCCTCTATGATACAATGGGTTTTGCTCCAGAAAAATCAGTTTTGAACTAATCCAGTGCAATTCCCAAACCTTTAAATTTGTAAATGAACCATTATGTTTATTTAATGTAGATTTAGTGGTTACATACATACACACATGTGTATATATGTGTGTGTGCAAATATAAAAATCTAATAAAACACTATCAAATTGTTTTTTCTATTACCCTTGAACAACTATGTAGGGTTCTCCTTATAGAACCTATAGCATGAAAAGTACAAGTTTACTCTCCAAAGGGGAAAGAGGCAAGAAAAAGAAAACAAAAAGAAAAGAAATGGAAAGAAAAGATTCAGATTGTTATTTTCTCTCTTTCTTATGATACATATATTGAAAATATTCCGTGAAGACTCTGACCATGTTACATTATTTTGGGTGTGTGTATACACTTTTCTTTCCTCAGTTTTGAATCACCCTGAAAAATATTTCTTGAAGATAAGTCATAGTAAACAGAAAAGGAAATATTTTGGTAGATGTGTATGTGTGTGTGTATGTGTGTATCTGCTTAGTCTGCTTAACTTAATTCATATTTGGTTTTGTTGTTGTAAAGACTTTGCTTTTTTTGGTTCTGTTTTGTTTTGTTTTGTCTGTTTGCCACCTTCCTCCAAACCAGAAAGAAGTAAGCAGGATCCATGACTGGCTCCTTGGCAGCCGGGCACAGGGAAGGCATTTCCCAGATCTTTCTCCAGGGAAGACTGGACCTTCAGGGCTGAGCCTCAGTATTCCACCTAGAAAGCACAGATTGGTGGTGGGACTCACATCAGTTTGATAAAGTGACCTTTCTTTTCTTAGTCCACCTTCAAACGACCGGGACTGTCGTTTGTTGAGAGCTGAGAGGGACAATGTTAACTCAGCAAGCAGCAGGAAACTGGTAGATTTTCTAGCACAGTATTCCAGCACAGTTCTCTTCGCTGCAAATGAGCCATTCTGGGCTCATTTGGGATGTTTTCTTCTCAGACATGAATATTCTGATATCCAAGCTCACGTAAAGGGAGGAGGGCAGAATGAAGCTCCTTTCTGGTGACTAATGAGTGTGGGAGCTGGTGTGAGGTTCTGTCCTAGGCTAGACACATTCCCCAATTAGGTCCATGTGCTTGGCGTACCTGATTTCCTTGCATGAATGACCCAGAAAATTTAGCAGAAATGCAAGTAAGTTGGTAACGGATACACTCCTTGAAAAAGGAACAAATGTAAAAGGTCATCGCCTTCTTCCTTTTCTCTGATTTTCACATTTTCCTAGCAGCCCTTCCTCTGCCTCTTTTTGCTGCCTGTCCCCCGCCCCGGGCCCACATACAGAGCAGTTCTTCTCATGTTAGATCCTTCCTAAAGTAGATCATAACCTCCACCGTAGGAAACCTTTTCTTTGTGCCCTTACCTCCTTGCAATTAGAGCCTGCTTGTACGTGGTGCGCTGCAGTGCTGGGCCATTATGAAAACAAGAAAACACTATTTTCTCTATTCTCTACCCAGAGACCATCTCATTTGACTTCAGTTTCAAAAGAAACCTTGTAAATGCAGCTGGGGAAATAAATGAACAAAACATAACGTGTAACCAGCCATTCTTTATTTATTGACTAAACATGTAATCAGTTCTTTATTTTGCAAAGACAGTCACTGGTTTTGATTCTCAAAATTTCTCTAGAAAAGAAAAGAACCCATCAAACAGTTGCTCTGGTTTCACCAGTTGTATAATTAAGAAACTGCCAATATCCCTAAACAATTAACGGTTTTCTTCTCGCACCTTTTGCCTGGGTATTTAATCACAATATAGATTCCTATTGCTTAAAGAGTAGGTTTAGAAGCTGAAAAATCATTTAAAATATAATCATATTAGTAAATGATTTAATTTCAAAACCATGAAAAACATTTTTGGAATGTTATAGCAAGTAGCCTATGAAATTAAAAAAAAATTCAGAAAGTCATTATTCTCAGCAGAGTCAGAAATCTGCCTATTTTAGACATTATTTAATCTGTCTCTTGCTAATTAGCAACCAAGAGACCCTCATCACTATTATGATACCCATCCCAGTATGGGATTAATAAAATAGTAAGATAATAATAAAATTGGATGTAACATGATCCTATATATATTCCCAGGTAGTATGGCTTTCCATGACAAAATGGTCCCTTTGAAGGCAAAAAAAAAAAAAAAAAAGGGGGGGTGGGAAATATAGATATGCACATATGTATAATACATACATACATGATTGCTTAATTTATTAGTTTTCCTCATCACTGTAGTTTTAAGAAATAATTAAGACTGCTTGTAAAATGTAAAATATAATAAAGTAACAAAAGTTACAAGTGGAAATAGACAAATATAAACAAAATAGTACTAGAATTGAGGCTTAGAAATGTATGTGTTAAAACTGACTAGTACTGTAGTCCCCCCATGCTATTATTTCTGTTCTACACCACTAACAAAATATATACATAGGCAAATGTATATAGTCAGATTAACGCTTTTCCTGTACCTGTTAGCTTCCCATACCTGTAAACCTTGAGTTGCTATTTATTTCAACAACAAACTTTCAAAACTACTGATATTTTATCACATAAAAATCTACCTTCAGTCTAGTTGAAAGTTCCCTGGCTTTATACCATGAACAGCAATCATTTGTGTTGTCAGAATAAACTAACAATCTCATATATTTGCTGTGAAATACTATCCTTTATTTTAGTCTTGCTAATAAGGAAACAGATTATTGAGATAATATGCTCATAGGAATTTGATAGTAAGATTTTCGACTTTGATTTTCGACAAATACTAAGATTTTTCGACAAATACCTTTGTATTTTATTGGGGCAGATTTACAGGTTTGTTTCAAAACATTTAGTAATAGATGAGATGGTCTGTGACGCTGCTCACAGGGACAATAAGATTTGAAATTTAAAACCTAAAAAGATGAATAAACAAACAAAAACAATAATCACAAAAGAATAATAAACTAGAGGAGTGTGGTTATCTAGGACACAGACTCTAGAATCAGATAACTAAGGTTTGTTCCTGAGCTCTATCAATTGTTTCATTTGTTTATTGGAATTGCAGAAGAGGAAAAAAATTCTTCTCTTCTACCTTCTCAGTGTTGTGACTGGAGCCTGTAAATTAAACTGACAGTAGATAGGTTAACAGGACAAAAAGTTTTATATGTATGTATATGGGAACCAACAAACAAAGTAGCTGGCTTGCTAAGCTTTATCTACCTAATTTGGTAAAGGAATGGAGGGAAAGAGAAAAGTCTCCTTTTTTGGGGACAGGGGGAAGACAATTTTTTTTTTTTTTAAGGGAACAGAGGGGAGATAAAATTTGTGATAAACTTTGTCTCTACAAGTATGGGTGGTCTTTCCCCTTTTTATAAGGCCATACAACTCCCTGGACAGGGGATTTATGGTAGATTTATTCTGGTTCTTCCTCCTGGGAATAGACCCATCTTAGAGAGGAATTTATGGCAGCCTCCTTTCTAGAACTTGCTGCTTTTAGTCATATAAGGGAAGCTCTGAAAATGCTTCTTTCTTCATCTGTTGACTCTCAAGTGTCTTCATCTTAAAATAATCTTCATACCAACTATGGGATTCCAAATGGATTCCAACAAAATTGTTTATAAGCTTTGATTTCATAAATGTTTAATGGATATACTAATACCATCTACCTTATAATTCTTAAAAACAATTTAGCATTATTCTGGAATTCTAAATTAGTTAAATAAATGTGTAATATTATTTATAGAGATCAGACACTTTATTTTTTTTTTTCTGGAGAAGGCTAATGAGAATGACCTTGTATATTCCTCAGAGTAGTTTCCTTACAGTAGATATTATGATGAATTTCATAATAATCTTTCATGTTTTTTATCCTCAATATAGGCTGATAGGTTCTTATCAAAGTGTGGTACTTTTACC